AAAGATTACAGACTGATGTGTACGTCCTCTGGGACGCGAACGCAGACTACGATTGTATCCACGCTGTTCTCCTCGTATCTCGACGTCTGTTTGGAATCGATCATGAAGCGAACAGAGGAGTGACGGGCGCTGTTCTGACCCAGCTCAGAGAGATCAGGGCAGTACTGGAGCTACGTCATTAGTTCCTCCGTGTAGCCACAGTTAACATCGTCACATAGAAAGTGTTTGTCTGTGAGACGCGATGGAGCCGACGAAGCCGAGCGCGCTTCCCGCCAAACAGAGTCACCTTTATTTATGAGAAGGGCATTCGCTTTATTCCGCTTTTCCATCCACGCACAAACAACCAGCTGTGCCTCCTCTGCTCAGAGCCGCCATTTTTGGAGCACAGGTAGATGTCGTCATCATCGGCCCTTCCGACCACATCTGTGCCAAATTTAGAAACGGAGCGCTCCCTGAGGCTGTCGTTCAGCCTGCATGCTGTGTGCCGTGCACTGATGTGTATTTTGTGTGTTCATGTTTTCAGATTGTATATAGTTACCTACATGTGTCTGTTGATAGTACAGAAAAGGTCACGGTGTGTGTGTGTGGGTGTACGTGCTCATGAACGTGTGTGTTGTGTAAGAGACGACATCAGCCCATGGGTGCTGCGGTGGAGTCAGCATCTGTGGATTAATTACCCAGAGGGCACCTATCTACCCTTTCAGCACAGACAGGCCTCAGACACACAAACACACTCACGGGGCTTCAAAATGTCACAACACCTTAGTTGCCAAATAATACTGCAGTTTCCAGCCAAAGAGGTTCACACGGCCACACAGCGAGCCGCTGCCACGACTGCTAAAGGCGCTTCATCGTCGTCTCCTCGGACTGATCTGTTACAGAAAGGAAAACGATCTCTGCGTTCTGTGTCAGCCTCTCCTTAGTTTTCACTCTCAGTAGCTTCATTCATTCGCTACACTTTGCATGAAGCTTCTGTTCCTTCCAAACACAAAGCGTTTAGTGTTGACAGGCTGAAATCGGTGCTTAATCCCATCGATCCAAAAATCAAAGTTCTTCTATAAATTCGGATTTTTTTCCTAAACTGGGGAATGATCGCGTACAGAGTTCAAACACGATCCTTTCCCTCCCCGTCTATGCAGTGCAGAGGTTAATATCATTGCAATCGCATCTAGAGAAATTTTCTTAGGGTGGCAAAGAAACCAAATGGGGTGGCAAAATCAAAGCCTTTTTTTCCAAACACATATGCAGGTGGTTACATGTGGCTATAATGATTCAAATGCAGTAAGTATGCACGTTTTTCATATAAATATAGTCTATAACTTAATTATTGTCTGTAGCCCACATAATTAAATACTTTAGTTACATAAAGTTTTGATTTGTGTACTGTACAGCCTGTATGATAAATAAATATGCAGCCCAATAAGTATAAAATGCAGAAAGCTACACAACATGGGGCACTTCATTTACAAACACAAGTCTAACTTAAGTTTCGCTGTTTTTTGTTAGAAAACAGTCACATTGTTGCAGCTTAAATTACACAAAATGTCAGAAATCTGCACCGTCATGAACAAACATGTAAACCGAATTTTTCAGGATTTGTTGGAGGAACCCACTGAGGTCTGAAATACAACCGGACATTTGTGACTCCTTTGAGTTTACGTTTGTGTTTCACCCTCAGATTGTTTCATTTCATTTTTTCCCCTCTTACCTTGTTTGGTGTCTTTTCAGCTCAACTGAATTTAGTTGTTTTTTTCACTGACATACTGCATTAGTGTTACTGATCTGAAATCACAAAAAGTAACTTAAGATCCTAGTAGTATTTTTACTGTAAAAAACAGACATGTTGAGTAAATGTTTATAACTTGAATTGCAAATATAAATTGTACATTTTGTAAACATAAACAACTATTTATCTAAAAATGCAGCCAATACACCTGCTGTGTTTTTCATTTTGTACAACCATTTAAAAATATTACTAAAACTAAAATGAGAGAACAATCAGGTGTTGCAATAAGATGCCCCACAAATGATGTGTGCCAGTAAAAACAAGTTTGTCCACCAAAAGACAGAAGAGCACAGGGACAAACCTGCAGGCCCGACAACAGCAGGTGTATCACTCCGCTGGTTTCTACTTAGTGACAGTGTTTACAAATGTGCCTCTGTGACAGTCATTAGTGCCCTCGCTGACACACTAAACAAAACGACTACACAACAGAACAACTACACAACACACTAACTCCAACGTCACAAATCTGCCCACATCTAAATCCTCTCCTCCTCTCTCGCTCTGTCTCGCTCGCCCTGTTACCGTCACTCCCCAAACTCTCCCCTCTTCCTAAACAACCAAATCCCACATGTTGACTTTTTTTTAATTGGTCGACATGGTGCATTTTTCCACCAATAAGAAAGAGGTGGCTTTTTTCCTTTCTTTACTGTTTTCGTGCTGTCCTTACAAAACGCTTAAAGCACACACGTGACGACAGTATTTAGAACAAAGCCTGGCTGATATATATGATCATAACTCTGGATTTACTGGCCTGTAATTAAAATTTAAAACTTTGAAGTCCGAACTTTCAATGTGGCTGAAACAGAGACTCAGCGTGGCTGCAGCTTGTTGCTGTGTCAGCTTACATCAGTCATGTGATCTGGAGGTGCAGCGTGTCCGTGGACCACAGAGGGTTAATAACACTCACCTTCCTTCCATTTCCACAGTGTAACATCCACCCACCTGTGTAAAATCCGAAATTCCCATGGTGTTGTTCAAAATGTGCTCTGGCACGATCATGAGCATCGCTTGCTGCTGAAAACAAGAAAAAAGCGGTCCTGCTATGGGCTGAACCATTTGTTACTGGTGCAGGGGGGACACTATGCAATATATTCAGTTTTAGCATTTATACTCACTGCTGACTGTAACTACGCTCAAACTGTTAATGCTATCTTATTTTAATAAACAACACTGTCATATGCAAAACTGGGGTGGCAAGGGATCATTTTAGGGTGGCACTTGCCACCCCATGCCACCCTTCTAGATCCGCCCCTGGCAACAGATACACTTCTGTTTAGTCACTCCACATCCACGCGGCGCTGACGACTGCTGCTCTGCAAAGGTGCTGCTTGTGCTGCGCTTCCTGGTAGCCGTTAACACACAGAAAGGAAACCGTTAAGTTTGTGGACAGCATCGGAGTTTTGTCCTCCAACGTTAACCCGAGGCACCGCACGGACCTACAGGGATTCGTGCTGTTTGTCAGTGACATACTAAATTAGTTAGAGTGATCTCAGATCAGTGTGTGCCTAAATTTATTCACAGAACACAACACTTGAATTTTACTGAACATACGCTAAAGACGGCAGCTAATAGAAAATTTACTGAATTGAGCAGAAACGTCTTTTTTCATAAACAGTTCAGTAGAAGTCATGGTGTACATGATGAGAAGACCAAAGCCAGTCTGTTACGCAACTAAAAGTGTGAAAGCCTCTTTTTTGCTGGAGGTGAACAGTGTAAGCGCTCTGCTACAGTGTTTACAGTCCCGTCTCGTCTCTTCATGACACGGAGCAGGCGCCCGGGACGGGAAACGTGCGGTCCTTCACATTATTACCTTTTAGACCTCGTCCTTGTTTCTGCATCAGGCGAGCTGTAACACAATTAGTGGTTTAGGACCAATCCCAAGTAACAGAAGACAACTGCAACAGTAGGCGAGGTTGAGAGGACAAGAGGAGGACAAGGAAGTAGCAAGTAGTTCATATTGATGGCAAATACTTCATTCCTATAGGCTGCGCTGAAGGACACATCTGTGGGTCGTTTGTTTGCATTGTTGTGCTGTGTGGATAACACAATCAGTGGCCTATTCAGCTTTGAGAGTTGGGGACAGCAGTGGGTGCACTTCTGGGCAGCAGGTGGTGTCACAAAAGAAATGTTAGCACCTTTTGCCATGTCATTGCCACAGCAGCACGAAAAGCTGTTGAAATGTCACAATGGCAGCCAAACCGAAGTGCCAAATCTTTCCCGTGTTAGGTTTAAATGAGCTCCTGTGGCCTGTTTTTGCTGACTTACTTGTACTTTGGATTTAGAAACCGGGTTTTTCTTGCAACCTTTTAACATTCGGTCCCTGCTATACCGCGCCAGCTGATGTAATGTGCACTCAGGCTGCTGAGCTGGGAGAGATGTCAGAGAGCTGGGGGGACATGACCGTAACGAACCATGATAGCATCAGGCAGAGTTTATGCCGGTACACATCAGCGTCCTTGCACTCACCGTGCTTTAACCTTCCAGTCTCTGTTCAACCAACATGCTGGTACCAATCAACACTCGCTGTACTGTACAAGTCGCCCACATCTACTAAGCTGTTATCTGTGCGTGTGCGAGTTTGTATGAGCGTGCGCCTGCGCGTGCGTGTGAATGCTGCATTTTATCCATCACTGTGCATAAAATGCATCTGCTGTAACTCCCTCACTGTTGTCATAATTTATTGGATGTTGTATTTATACATGAGATAAAGACAATAAAGCATCACATGAGTAACTTGATATGGGTGATTATTTTTCTTGGTCCTGTGTGTGTGTGTGTGTGTGTGTGTGTGTGTGTGTGTGTGTGTGTGTGTGCGTGTCTGTGTGTGTGTGTGTGTGTGTGTGTGTGTGTGTGTGTGTGTGTGTGTGTGTGTGTGCATTTGGAGCAGATTTGAATGTAAATGTTTTCCAGAGTATGTTTTGCTTTCCTCCACGAACTATAATTATTTATTGAAAATATGGGAGAGTCCTGCCCGAGCAGGCCAAATTAATACTGTCACAGTTTGTTTGTGTTCCAGTGTGAGGCCCAGATGAAGTTTTAATGTGTGTCTATGACTGTCGACATGCTCAGTCGGGGTAACGTGTAACTTTGGCCTTCTTTCCATTTCCTCCCTATCACCTGTTTCCTCACTCTCTCCTATTTCCTTCACCCATTCCCCTAATCTCCCCTAATCCCATTTTCCCTCTTTATTCGTGCCTCCTTCTCCCCGCTGCAGAATCGCATGCATGAGTCTTTGATGCTGTTTGACTCCATCTGCAACAACAAGTTCTTCATCGACACCTCCATCATCCTTTTTCTCAACAAGAAGGATTTGTTTGCAGAGAAGATCAAGAAATCTCCGCTCAGCATCTGCTTCCCTGAATACACAGGTACGAAAAAAGTTTGGGGTTTATTCCAGTGGTGGGCGGGAATCTCAAACAGGAACGTTTGGAATTTGTTTTCCTGAATTAAAAGTGTTTACAGGACGAAATATAGTCACGAGAACGACACATCTAAAGTTCATTCATTGAACGTAGCCAACTGCAAAAACAGAGCGTAGCACGAACTCGGGCAGGCCACAGAGTCGAGCTCAGCAGATCAGGTGATCTCAGCCCACGTCAGCTGACACATTTCTATACATCCGATGTAAGATGTGCTTTTTGAATCGCTTTACAATGTTGGTGTATATTTGCAACCCACTCAACCCTCTAATTGAGCTCCTCATTTAGTTTAATCAGTTTACTGAAAAGTTATCTTTTAATAGTCCTGTGATGTTGGTTCTTCCTGTCTTTATGTTAAGCTAACTGAAAGCTCAGATCAAGTTTCACCAAATTTCAAATTGCTTCATTTGAAGGAGCTTAATCTTAAAAATTGTGTCGTACGAAATCATTTGGAAATTTGCATGAAAATCAGTGTAACGGAGCCGAAAATAGGCTAATACTGAATGAGACATTTTGAAGAGGGGATATAAAAGTATGAATGACTACCATCTGTCCTGTGTTAAGTGTAATTCCCAGAAATTAAATGCTTTCTAAAGCCCTTCCTGAGGTTCTGGATGCTGATTAACGACTGCTCGGTACAGTACATCGGCTCTGCTTCTAGCCCTGACATTTACTGTCACAGACTTGTAAACAATTCGAAGCACTTTAAATCAGAGTTGCTGTTTACAGTTTGCAGCAGAGATGGCCAACGAACTGTTTAAAGAACTGCAGAGGCTCAGGTTGAAAAGAGAGATATACTGTTTAAAAGGAAAGCAGGGAAGGAGCAGAGGAGAGTCAGATAAATAGAGCAGGAAGGAGCAGAGAGACCCAGAACCTGTAACGGGCAGAACCGAGTTTACAGATTTCTCCGTGTGGAGGTGAGAGTCGAACGAGGTGGTGACAGAGAAAAGGAAGAGACTGCTTATAAGAAGCAGCAGACAGTCGTGCTTGGTCAGCCGCAATAAGTGAGAGCTGCCTCCTGCCTACTCCAAACTCCAAACTCCTTTCCGGTCTCCAAGTGGATCCTTTTCATTCCTGTCCCTCATGCTTCACTTACGTTCGGCTAACTTGCTTGACAGTCTCAGTAAGTCTGTCTTCTGTCAGTCTCTCCTCCTGTGTCCCATGCTCTCGCAGCTTCCCAACAGAAGACTTTACGAACCTTTAACAACCACAAATATTTTTCAAGCCAAAGATCTTGGAGAAATATCTTTTACATCACACGCAAACATGTCCTGACTTTGCCCAGCAGAAGGACTGAGTATGATTCAATAAATCTGCAAACCTATTAGAATGTATACTATCATTGCTGATTAACGACTCCTCGGTACAGTACATCAGCCCTGCTTCTAGAGGAGAACTATCATTGCATCTGATATACAGCTAATGTGCTTCAAATTAGGTCAAATGAATAGGATACAGATGTGATCATCTGTGTGTAGGAAACCAGACCAGTTAGCCTGCATTTAGCACTGCTAGTCCACCTCTGTTACAGGGATAGTATTTCTACTTACTAATTTGGACTTCTATGTGGTGATGACAGCTCTGCTACCTGCTAAGTTCATATGAAGCTAAAGATATCACATCATCTAAACCGACTCTGTCGACAGGTCTCGGCTTCGCTTCAGCTGCTGAGCTGACATTAGCTAACAAAAATGTCTCACTGCTCGACAGGATATGCAGCTGCTTTCCTCTGAAGTCTGAGCTCATTAAAACAGTTAGCTTTAAATAGTTGTGTGAGATTTCCTGTGAAGTGTGACGTTCAGTGCAGCACAAAGGAAGGTGTGGAGTCAGCTATCACTAGAAGTGGATGCTGTGTAGCAGATTTCAAAGCTAGCTGTCCATGTGAATCAGTTATTTCTTTTATTTTACAGTAATATATCTAAGTTTCTTACTAAACTGAAACTAGCAACAGACTGAAAATACTTTGACCTGCAGATTTTCAGAATCAGTGAAGCATAAAGAAAGTGTTTAAAGAGTTTCCCACTGTTGCACAGCCAAAAATGTCCACCGGCTAACTTCCTGTAGCATATATGTATATAGCATACGCATCAGAGTCCAAGCTTTAGAATTCGATACAAACACAGATATTTTGTGTACTTTGTGATGAATGCAGAGATGGTGGTAACACAGTTAGGCTACTAACAACAACCCACCTGAGCACTGAGTATTTGACTGTGTGAACTCAGCCCTATAGGTACTAATGAAGGATTATGCAACAGCTATTTTATTCATTTCCAGCTCTATATTTTTTAGTACTTGTTTGTCTTAGATTTGCGCAGGTGCAGACACCAGTCCATGCAGGGGTGATCTAAACGCTACGCAAAAGTAGAAAAAAGTTGGAAACAAAGTATTTATAAGAGAATGCAACATTGTAACAATATATAATCATCATCATCATCCAGATAACTAACCAAAGCTACTTGTTAAGTCCTTTTTTCATGAGACTTCCTGTTTGAAGTTTTTGTTTTAATAATTGTGTCGTAACACATCTGCTTCCCTCCAGGACCCAACACCTACGAGGATGCAGCAGCTTACATCCAAGCACAGTTCGAGAGTAAGAATCGCTCTCCAAATAAGGAAATCTACTGTCACATGACCTGCGCCACAGATACAGGGAACATCCAGGTTGTGTTTGACGCCGTGACCGATATTATCATCGCCAACAACCTCCGAGGGTGTGGCTTGTACTGAGCACACCTACCGACCCTGTTATTTCCTCCCCCCTCTGTCCCTTCCTCTGTCCTCCCACCTCCTCATTCCTCTTCCTTTGACACTGCTGTGGAAATGATGATGGCGATGATGACGATGCTGATTACTTAAAGAAAAAACGAAAGAAAAATGCAACTAGGTACATATTAATAATGAGGATAATTTAAAAAAAATAGGCATACATATATATATATATATTATATATATATACCGTTTTTAGTTCTTGTCTGCTCTCTTCTTGCTCCGACTCTTCCTGACGTTCTTGAGCTTGCTGCCAAGCAAACAAATTTGTTTTAGTAGAAAACACGAAACCCTGCAGCCTTGAAAACTTTGTGAACAAAGTCGATGAAAGCCTCCGTTCCCCGTTTCCTTTCTTTTACGTTGTCTTTTGTTGTTAACCCAAACCTGTACGTTTTTTATGACTCTTGTTTTTGTTGATCATATGTATATTTATTGCAAGTATCAGTCTGTACACTGATGTTTATTCACGTTTTGCCTCACCTGACACCCCTGTGTGTGTGTGTGTGTATTACTTTGTCCTTCTTTTTTGCTGTAGTAGTGATTATGTAATAACAGTTTTTGCAGAATTATTTGAAAATGTACTAAGAAGCACTAGACGGGTCAGCCAAAACTCTCAAGACCTGCTAGAACTGACGATGCTGATTTTAATGTTAGTGTTTTGTTTACATTAAGTGATTTTTGTTGTTGTTTTTGTTGTCAGTCACTTTTTTGGGGATCATTTTACTCAAGGTGTGGTTTTCATCGACAGGATGTAAGGCTTCCTGTTTCCAGGCCTAAGCCACTAGCAAACCATCGGCCACGGCCGGGTGTGGGAGCCAATAGGAAATGTGCTAACAGTCCTATCAGTGCCATGTAACAAAGGTACTGCACTGTAGATAGCTGTGCTTATAGAAGCAACTACACAATGTTATGATTAAACCTTTCTCACTGTTATAACCTCTAGATCTGCTAACATTCTCCGTGTAAGAAAACTCACTCATGGTTTGATAATGGTCGATTAATTTATTAATTTATTTATTGATTGATCACCTTTCTTCACACACCTGTCTGTTTTCTCTCTCTCTCGTCATGCCACACCTTTACTTCTCTCATCTTCTTCCATCTCTTTCTTTTTTGGCTTATTTTTGCAAAATTAAAGAGCACTCCTTCTTTTTTTGCCAACCCATCTCCCCGTCCTCCTCCTTTTCCCTCTAAAGCCCAGATAGCATGTGATACTCAAGCCTTTGTATAAAGAGATCAGTTAATTCATACAACTTATAGACAAAAAAAAAGTACACACAAATAATGCTCAGATAACTTTAAAAAAAGAAAAAAAAAGTAAAAGTAAAAAAACAAACAGAAAAATACAGAAACAAACAAACTGAGAAGATTGTTGGTTTCTGGGACACGGCAGAGGCAAATATATATATATCGAAAAAAAGTGACAATTTAAGTTTCCAAGGATTGACAACAGAAAGGTTCAGAGTACAGCGACGTGTTAAAGTGAGCTGAAAAAGGACAAAAATGTACTCTGATTACTACAATAATAAAGACCCCAGTGAACATTACCACAGTACCGCCAACGACCTTCCTAATGATCCTGTTAATATTCCAAAAACTTTTCTCGTGCTTTGTAGCTACAGAGTATCTCTTTCTCTATATCTCCCTTTTTTAAATGTAAAAGATGTTTTGCAAAGCGAGCTGATCCGTGAAGATCTCAGACCGACCCCGCCGTCTTGTTATAATGCTCTGAACTGTGCCCCGCCCCTTCTCCTTTTACCGTTTTGCCTGTTTCCCTGCATTAGATCCGTGTCCTCACTTTAGCCTGACTCAGAACAATTAAATATAATATTATAACAATATCTATTTTTTATTATTTCAGAAGAAAAAAAACAAACAAACACTTTTGGGGGAGAGCACGTTTCTCGCTGCGTCCGCTAGTTAGGGACGCCGCATGTTCACACATCTACGCTGTATAAAGTCATGCTCTTTTCTTCTTCTTCTGTCTCTTTTCAGTTTAACCCACTCCTTCCAGGTCTACAATGAAAAGCACAGTTTCTCACATGCACACTTGCTCGCACTCACACACACACACAATAAGTAGATCTGTTATCTCTTCATGTGTTAGCCCTCGTCCATCTCTCTATATTGACTTCTTGATTTCTAGTTTTTAAAAAAGAAAACAACCGTGTATAATGACATGAGAAAGCATTTTTTCCTCTCATTTTGTTCCCGTTTCCGTCATATTTTTTATGTTTTGTTCTTTACCCAGTGAATGCTTTTTTCTGTGCAGCTTTCTCTCTCTCTCTCTCTCTCTCTCTCTCTCCCTCTACTCTTCTTTAGTGAATGGTTGTTATTTCATGTGGGATGTCCGTGCTGGAAAAACCAATCGAATGTAGTGTTTACATTAAAAAGCCACTGTTTTCATGACTACGAAAAAACAAAAGCCGACCTCTTCTTGTCTCCGAGTCATTCAGTCTATCCACAGCTGTGCCTTTCTGTTGGAGCCATGAATTTTCCCAGGATTGCTGCATTTAGCCGCGGTATTGAGCAAACACTGAGCTGTAGTGCTGACCCTGGGGTCGTCCGCTCTGTAAAACAAGCTGTTTTATCTACTTCCCCTCCATTTGAGCCACCCTCCTTTTGATTGGCTGCTCCTGGTAAAGAGAAGGTTTGAACAGCATTGTGGGAACAACTTCAACATATTCAAACATATTCCACTGTAACAATATAAAACACCTCGAGTCTACATTTTCCATTTTTGAGGAAAATTTCAAATAGATGCAGAAATCTATTGAAATGTGTGCAAAGCCTGTTCAGTAAGAGTTCTCCAGTCTCCTCTTTGGTTGCTAGCTGCTTCAGTAATGTCCTGGTTCCAGCCGATCCGTGATATATATTGTTGGATTGTTCTGTCCATCTGTGCTCTTGTGACATTGGCCGTGAGTGGAATAAACAAACTGCTGCCAGTCAGATACTTTCCATATGGTATTACATAGTTGATCAGAGTCTGACTGTGCTTCCCTTCCCTGAGAATGCCTTCTTGACAGCCACCCCTCCACTGAGACCATTTCTGATGAGGCTTCAGTGAACAGTAGCTGGATTAACTGAAGATGCATCTCTCAGGTCGTTTCTTGATGACCTGACTTTCAGATAATCTTTTGTCCATTTTTTCTAGTTTCCTCATTTTTTAAGGACGCTCTGATCTCATGCCAACATATGCCAAGTTTTCAGCTCTTTGGAGATCTCCTGTTCGGTGCACAAATGCTATTTTGTGGCTGTCAAACTGTGTTATTTTTGGCATTTGACTAAAACAATGTGGAGAAAAATCTGTGTTTTTGTGCTAGGCTGCAAGTAACAAAGACAGTTTAAAACTGGTTCTTGGCTAAGTCATCTGTGCAGACACAACGCTGGTCCTTTGAGTTAGCTGCATGGCTTGAATGATCCATAGGTCAGCGTTAAATGGCTTCACAAAGGAAAAACAAACGTTCCTCTGGAAATGGACTGGAGTGGCAATGGGAGAAATAGCAGCTAATGTCCAAAGACAAACTTTGACAGACCTTCAGAAAGCCTGGAGAACAGTTGCTCGACACAACTTTAAGCCTGGGTCCTTTGAAGCGACATATGAAGAAATGAGGCCTGAAACATTTGCACAGTACTCACTAACAGGAACTCATAGTACAGGCTGGGCCATTTATATGGATACACCATAATAACATGGGAATGGTTGGTGATATTAAAGTCCTGTTTGTGGCACATTAGTATATGTGAACAAAGAGAAACTTGTAAATAACTCATGAAAGAATAAAGTTACGTTGAAACCAAGCACACCAATGTTTTTCTTGTGACATTACCAATAAGTTTGATGTGTCACATGGCCCTCTTCCTATTGAAAAAACACAAGTTGTATCCAAGATGGCCGACTTCTAAATGGCCACCATGGTCACCACCCATCTTGAGGAGTTTGCCCCCTCACATATACTAATGTGCCACAAACAGGACTTTAATATCACCAACCATTCCCATGTTATTACGGTGTGTCCATATAAATGGCCCACCCTGTATAATAGGCCTACTTTAACCGTCAGCTTCAGAATCAGAATCAGATGGGGGTTTATTGCCAGATGTTGAGGTTTACAACATTAGGAAATTGCTGCGGTGCTTCAGTGCAAACAATAAGAATTAAAGTGCTATGTAGAAAGAAAGATATGTGCATGAGATATACATGAGATATATACATGAGAATAAGAATTATGAGTGCTACGTAGAAAGATATATACATGAGTGCAGGTGGTGATCAGTGCCAAACATGAAATGATGCAGTGACACAGCGTAGGGTCATGTGTTAGTGGCGGGGACAGTCATGTGGTTATTGTTCATGTGTCCAACAGCAGAGGGGAAGAAACTGTTCTTATGGCGAGAGGTTCTGGTGCGAATGGACCGGAGCCTCCTGCCTGAGGGGAGCAGGTCAAACAGACTGTGTCCAGGGTGAGAAGGGTCAGCTGAGATCCGAGCTGCACGCCCAGTGTCCTGGAGGTGTACAGGTCCTGCAGAGATGGGAGTCTGCAGCCAATCACCTTCTCAGCAGAGCGCACAACACGCTGCAGTCTCTGTTTGTCCCTGATAGTGGCTCCAGCGTACCACACGGTGATGGAGGAGGTGAGGATGGACTCGATGATTGCAGTGTAGAATGCATCATCGTCCGTGTTGGCAGGTTGAATTTCTTCAGCTGCCTCAGGAAGTACATCCTCTGCTGGGCTTTCTTGATGACGGAGGTGATGGTGGGCTCCCACTTCAGGTCCTGGGTGATGGTGGTACCCAGGAAGCGGAATGAGTCCACAGAGGTGATGGGGGTGTCAGTCAGGATGATGGGGGGGAGTGGGGCTGTGTGCTTCCTGAAGTCCACAATAATCTCCACTGTCTTCTGGGCATTCAGCACCAGGTTGTTGTGGCTGCACCAGGACACCAGACGTTCAACCTCCCTCCTGTAGGCAGACTCATCCCCGTCCGAGATGAGTCCAATAACGGTGGTGTCATCTGCAAACTTGATTAGCTTGACAGACTGGTGGGTGGAGGTGCAGCAGTTGGTGTACAGGGAGAAGAGCAGAGGAGAAAGAACACAGCCCTGAGGGGAGCCGGTGCTGATGGTCCGGGAGTCCGAGACATTCTTTCCCAGCCTCACATGCTGCTTCCTGTCCGTCAGGAAGTCAGTGATCCACCGGCAGATGGGATCAGGCACATTCATCTGGGAAAGCTTGCCTCGGAGATGGTCTGGAAGGATGGTGTTGAAGGCAGAGCTGAAGTCCACAAACAGGATCCTGGCGTAGGTTCCTGGGGAGTCCAGATGCTGCAGGATGATAGTGTAGGGCCATGTTGATGGCGTCGTCTACAGACCTGTTGGCTCTATATGCAAACTGCAAGGGGTCCAGGAGGGGGGCCGTGAGGGTCTGAGATGGGAGAGAACCAGGCGCTCAAATGACTTCATGACCACAGATGTCAAGCAAAGTGTTTGCAGGTAATGTCACACAGCCGTTTGGTTCACTTATTAATTAGACCAAATAGATGTGACATTAAATTATACATTAAAAACTGATTGAACTTTAAGGAGTAGTTTAAAAAGTAATAGACAAGGAAGCATTATATTACATTCAACAGAAGTGAGAACTAAATTGTTAGTGTCACCTTTATATCACAGATGACCGGGGACTGATGGACAGAATATGTTTTATTTGATGATGTTTTTAATGCTACAGGACTTTCCAAACACCTCGGCTGTAGCTCACATAGCAGTGAGGAAACACTGCCCTGAAGTCAAAGCCATGTTACAAATACTATTTAAAGTGCTTAGACCAAATCTAGGGGTTACATATTTTACCGCTGTATCGGCGATGCTCACTGTGACACATGCAGTATGTGATGGGCTGATGAACTCTTAATAGCATTTTAATAAGCTCTCGCTGTTTGTAGCTGGGTTTCCAAGCAGCAGGCAGTCTGATCCTGCTGAAGTCACGCAGGGAGTCAAATGATGATCTCAGGCGATTTTTCACTACTCCAGAAACATGCACAGCCAGTTGTTTCATTTTGGTTCCTGCATCATCTGACAACATTCTTGTTAGCTACAATATAATCAACAAATGTTAACAGATGATATAGATGTTATATCAGAGAAAAAGGAGATGTTGTTTAAGCTCCTTTAACCTGTGAATGCTGCTTTTATATATGTAAAATACAGCAAATTTTTATAAATCTTCAAAAACACGTGGATGGGATCATTAAGATGTGGAAAATGGAAAAGCTGGAGCGATGAGTGCATACACAGATACACACTCATGCTTCACGCGTGATAAGAGACACACAAACATGTTGCTTCCTGTCCTCCCACAGTTCCACCCCCTTGGGACGGAGGTCATGAAGTGAGCTGACATATTTCAGGAGAAAAATACAACGGACAGATTATTTTAACCTCTGCTTGCGTTGCACCATATTCAGTTATTTTCCAAACCAACTCTTGATCTGCGCACACGTGCTCTCAACAGAAAATGAGATTCCTTCATTCATCTTCTATTAGCATCGATGAGTGCTCTCCAAAGTGTTTGCATCTTCACAAGAGCCTGATTTCACTTCTGTGTTGACAATGTAATCATGCATGTACGCCTCTGCGGTGAAAACACACACTTGGAGCTGTATAGTGATAACACAGAGGAGTAATCCTGCATATGCAGCACTCTCACTTTGTGGCCAGTGTGTGTGTTTATGCTCTGCTGCAGGTTCTCCTGACATAAAGCATCATCCTCTCACCGATGACAGAGAATCCGTCACTGCAGACAGACACCGCAGGAAAACTGTGAGCAGCGGGCAAAGAGATGTTTGTTCACACATACCGCAAAGAGAAAGAGAGAGAGAAGCCTTTGGTCCTCACTGCTGTGACAGCATCTGTGAGGAAGAGGCGGGTTCACCGGGTTCACAGAGAGAGGAGGAGAGTGACCAGGCGTGTGGAGAGCGCCGTCAGGTAGCAACAAAGACAGGGCGGCTGAGCAGAGGCGGGGGAGGGAACGATCGCCATCTTATCAACATTTACACTTTAAATGGTTTCATTTCATTCCCACTTCCCGTCGGTGTGTGTTGGTTCCTTATTCTGCTTTTGGATCCATTTTACAGAATATTTACAGCATCTGTGAACCTCTTTGAAAAGTACACTGAACAAAAATATAAACGCAACACCTTTGTTACTGCTCCCATTCCCCATGGGATGGACGTAGAGACCTAAAATTCAT